ATTTGTACATTCGAATTTTTCACCCCAAAAATCCCCCCATAAATTTGACATTTCGAGCCTATATCTCAGCCCCTGTATGAGTCCGCACGAAAATTTTTTCACCTTCGACTCAACTCGCCGAGCTCTTTCGAATGACATATAATTCGAACTATTTCGGCTCTGTTCGTTTTCCGAAATTATACCTTTTTAGCGGGACACGCCCAAGTAGGCGCGCGGCCATAACGGCCCAAAGCCTTAACTTGCTGGAAAATTTCTGGCCCTTACCAATTTTGGTACCAATCTCTTTAGCTCGATGAGAGGAGTCGTTTAATACTAAATTTGGTAAGATTCGGAAATCTTAAAGCAAGTTATGGCATTGCGCCTACTTGGCCGCGCGCCTACTCAGGCTATACCCCTTTTTAGCAACCCTCGGTCGGCTCCGGGTATCATATTTCTGATAACCCGTCACTCCTTTTAGACAGAGTCAAAGTATTTGACAGCTCCGAGTTTATAGCCCTTCGATATTGCTTTTATTATAGTCCCCCTTTATATTATCCCCTATCCTTAAACGGGGTCACGCCCAAGTATGCGCACGGCCATGTAGGCGCAAAGCCATAACTAGCCTGAAAATTTCTGGACCTTAAAAATTTTGGTAACAATCTCTTTATCTCGACGAGAGGAATCTTGATAGATTTGGAAATTTTGAAGCAAGTAATGGCTTTGCGCCTACTTGGCCGCGCGCCTACTTGTGCCGTACCCCCTTAAACGCGACTCAAAATAATTTATTTAAAAATTTTGAGTTGTTATGCTTGGCCGCTAAAATTTAATTTTGGGAATATTTTTTATTTACACAGTTTTTTTATATTATTTATTTATTTTAGAGAGTAAAGATTAATATTAAATCGAGGGATGTTTCACATTTTTCGTACGATAACGTTCATTGGGTATAAATTTATATATGGGGCGCTTCATGTGATTTAAACACATATTTTCTTCATTTTATTTAATTTTTATTCAATATTAAGGTTGATTTTATTATAAAATCCGAGTTCAGAAATTTGTAAATTATGGCGGAGCAGTTCAACTGAGTCCCGGCTCAACTGAATCCCGGCCCTATAACTTAGCAAGGAATGGTCACTTTTTCATGTTCTTGGTATCATTCGATAGAGAATCTAAAGCTCTATAATATATCAAAAAATCAGAATTTTTGACCGATTGATAAAAAAGTTATGATTTAAAAACTAACTTTTTCAAAAAAATCTGATTTTTCGGCACTTTATCGATCATAACTTTTTTACCAGTCGGTCAGGAATTTTAATTTTTTGGTATATTGTAGCCTATTTAATGCCCTATCCAATGGTACCAAGAGTAACAAAAAGTGACCAACCCTTCATAAGTTATAGGGTCCGGGACTCAATTGAGGTGCACCGAAATTATGGTACTAAGATGGGTACAGCCCAAGTAGGCACACGGCCATAACGGCCGTGTTATGGTTAATCCATAGTGCCAGATTTTCTAATCTTACCAAATTTAGTATTAAACGATTCCTCACATCGAGCTAAAGAGATTGGTACCAAAATTGATAAGGGCCAGAAGTGTTCTAGCAAGTTAAGGCTTTGTGCCGTTTTGCCCGTGCGCCTACTTGGGCGTGTCCCCTTTCCAAATTCAACTTAATCCCCCCTATATTACTCTAATAATTACTCTAATAAATTTCTACTAAATCACAGATATCCCCCAAATACTACGAAAAGCCTGTCTTCATGTTTATATTTTTAGCCGAACTTTTTTCGACCCGAAACACGATCCGACGAAAATTTTAAACCCAGATCCGAACCCGACCAGACCTTTTTCTCAACTCTTGACATCTAGTAAAGCAGCTGGGCTATGGCTATTTCTCTCCTTTAGCTAGTGCAAAAGGTTATTCGGCGGCTGGGAGCGAACCAGCATCTTCAGTAGACCGGACTGATGTGTTAGCCATTACACCACGCCGCCTACTGCTCAGCCTTAGGAAATTAATAGCTATATGCTTTACAATCTCTGTTACTGTTGATCTTTATTTTTCATCATTTAATTTTATTCATTTACGAATAATTTTATTTTTATTAAATTTTATTATAAAAAATAAATTCAGAAATTATCTTAAAACAATTTTAATCCCATGTATCTTCCATTAAATAAATTCGTTTTGAATGGAAGAACAACAACAGCCAAAATTTGTTCCTCAAAATATTTATTTTTATTTATTTTTACTTTTATTTTTTGCCTTTATTTTTTTATTAAAATATTGCCAAATAATAACTACCAAAAATTTGTTAATAAAAATTTTATTAATTCAAATTTAATTGTTGGAAACTTAGGGGAGGAATGCAGTGAAGATGGGGAAAATAGGTTGGTTTAAGGGCTACCCGACATTTGTGAACGACTTTTGTAGAGTCCTAAGTAGAGATCGGACCGTACCGTACTACGGCCGTATTTTTCGGTATTTATCGGTATTCCGTATCGGTAGTACGGTACGGAAAATTTTTTTAAAAAATACGGTACGGAATACGGTACCGATGAAAAATATCGGTATTTGTCGGTATTTCTCGGTATTTATCGGTATTACAGTCTGTAATACGGTACGGAATACGGTACGGCAACATTTTAAATTTTATCGGTATTTATCGGTATCGGTATAATACGGTATTACGGTACGGAATACGGTACGGAACAAAATTCCGATCTCTAGTTAGTATTAATGGCTACCCGACATTTTGGACGACTTTTGTAGAGTCCTAAGTATTGGGTTAACAAATGTCTTGATTCCAAAAGTCACGTTACGGTATTAATTAAGTGTGTGTCTGAACTATGTTTAGTCTAATTCAATATTCCCAGTTCTCTTTTCTGAGGATTTCAACAATTTCTAATATTCCAATTATAATATTTTATTCAGTTAAATTAATAAATGAGTTTACAATTTGGTAAGGGTTAAGTATAAGTTAAAATTAAAAATTGAGGTGCATTTGATTAGCTTGGGTTCTTTATATAGGGTTGTGCATGTGAATAACAATATTGGGATGAAGGTACAATAATCGGGATTTATTTAATATAGTAAAGAGAGTTGGCAACCAAATATATATGTGGGTTGGGAAATTACTTAAGATAAGAATGTTTATGTCGGGAATGCCAATCGAGAATGGCTTAAACAAATATATATTGGGAAAGCAATTAAATTATAGATAGGGAGTTCTTATCAAGAATACTCCAATGTCAGATAACTTTGATCGACCATATGTAACTATGTATTCTGCCTTAACAAATCTGAACAAATCTTAAATTATTCGAAAGCTCCCAATTAGCGCTATCTTTTTTATAATTGGGTTACCGTATTTGCTGAAATAATGTCCCTTTCTCAAATAATCACCCCCGCCCTAATAATTACCCCCTACAGCCAGAGATCGAAAAAATGATTACCCTTCTTAAATATAGTTATAATTAGCCTTCTTTAAAATAAGCTCAGATAATTACCCTCTCCATTTTAATTACCCCCTCCAGCGAGAGGTTGAAACAATAATTACCCTGGGTAATTATTTTAGCAAATACGGTATTTGGTGTTTTTTACGTTTATCGGGTTATAACTTTTGAGTGAGGTCATAAAGACAGGATAAGCTCCGAGATTTTCGAATTTTTCGAGATTTTTTCAAAATTGAGAAAAATTCTTGTCTTATTAATAAAATCACCCTCTACTCATATCAACCAAAAATTCTTTCTAATTAGCAATGACAAAAAATGGAATTTTGACTGTTGTGGAGAGAAAATGGCGTATTCAATAATTATCGAAACAAACAACAAATTAACTCAATCTCTGGTTTCTGGTAGAAGATTTGATTGTAAACATTTACCCTTAATTAATAAATACAAACTTGCTGATAAATACAAAATTCAACAAAAAATTCCTGTAAATTTAATTTTAAATACGTAAATAGGGACTGGGCCGTTTTGGCGCGGGGAAGTTTTGGCGCGGGGACGTTTTGGCGCGAGCTTATAAAACAGTGAGTTGCTTATCAAAAATGATAAAATTTTGCAATAATAACTCACGCACCTTTATCTACGTTCTCCAGAAATTTCAGAATTTTTGATCAAGAATTTCGGAAATTGTGGCCAAAAATGTTGATTTTCTGAAAATTGCCTAATTTTTCGAGGTCCATCGACTATAACTTCTGAAATATTTGATAAAAAATTCTGAAATTTCTGGAGCAGGTAGTCAAGGATGTTTAAGAAATTTGAGAAAATTTTTATGAATTTAGGTCTCACCTAAGTGCCACTTTTTTGTTCTCGCGCCAAAACGACCCGGCGCCAAAACGACCCCAACCCCGTAAATATGTATGTTAATAATAGCAGCCCTGGTAATTCGGCTGGTAATTCGGTCGAATGGTACCACTCTCAATCTTTGAAAATGGATTAGGCACTAAAAATGGAATGGAATAGGCACATAAAAATCGAAAGACCATAGAGGGGCCAAGCTGATCTTAGTAGTAAAAAATCCGAAAATATACGTAGATGTTAGCTCGTTTGAAAGAGCTCCTCGAGCTAGTCATATCGGGTACACCCCGATGTACCGCAGGCCAACGTACCACAGAGCTATAACTTTGTTCAAAATGGTCGAATCTGGGACGCGCTGATATGGTTAAATTCAGCTCGTCGAGTTGCATCGAATCATACCAAGGCGTCCCGGATTTGACTTTTTGAACGAAATTATGGCTCTGCGGTACGTTGGGCTCGCGGTATGTTGGCCTGCTCCCAGTTATAAAGAAGGGTTTTGAGTCGCCACCGGCTAAAGTATATCCGGGAATTCTTCAATGAGTCTATTGAGTGGGCTTCAATAGGAAGTGCAATGGCTTCTATAGGGGTTGGACTTGTATTCTCAATACAAATTCGTTTCGGATAACTTACCTACGATCGTATCTACAAACAATAACACCACGATTATATATCAGAGTCAAAGGCTTCAGAAAATTTAAAAAAAAATTTTCAGGTCCAAAGGCCTGGAAGTAATAATTTCACAATTGTCACAGCTTCAAATGCCGAATATTTTGATACACTCAAAAAAATTCTGTATCTTCTCAAAAACAAATTTGGATGTTCTCAAAAAATTATTGGATATGATCTTGGGGGTATTAGTGAAAACAAAACTATGGTAAATTTTATTTCAATTAAAATTGGGTTTTAAAATTTGATTTTTTAACGCGGCGCGACATTTGCGAACAGACTTTTACGATACTGTAAAGCAAATGTACTAAACGTTCTAATAGTGTAAGGATGATTCATCCAGCAGCATTTAAAACGCTTAGGCGGGGGTTAAACGATTTAAAAAGGAAAAAGAGAAAGCATTATTCGATGCCGCGGTAGCTCAGAGGTAGAACTCCTGCATATAGTGAGCGAAAGCGCCTAGCAACAACTAGCAGGTGGTCGCAGGTTCGAATCCTGCCCGGTGGCTAAACTTTTGCAAACTCTTTCTATAGAAACGCATGTACTATTAGAAAGCACTCAATAAAGCCACAAATAAAGCCTCAAAAAAAGTTTAGATGATATGATCAAGTTTTAAAGATAAAGTTCAAATGACTTAAGTAATGATGAAAATTTTTTTTAAATAGAGCTGTCAAATCATTAGGTTAACTGTTTTTTGATATCCTGTCTGTCCCGATATCCCTGGCTTCCATTTGAATCTTACTGTAAGATACCCCTCCCTGGTAATAGTTTGGAATTCGCCCCCCCTTTTTCCTTTCTATTTTTTCCTAGTTTTTTCTAATTTTATGGCAAATTACCTATATATCATTCGAAAGAGCTTTTCGAGCTGAGTCGAATGCCAGTAAAATTAGCGAAACTCTTGCCCAATGGAAGAAATCTTGCCCAATGCCTTAAAATTCTCAAAATTTTCGCCGCGGCGTTGGCAATGGAAGAATCTTGGCTTAGGGAGGGGGTATTGGAGCTTTCTAATCGAAACCGACTATCTAAGATACCCGACATTATAAGATATTTTTTTATTTGAACAGATGGACGAACTAGAGTTGGTCTGCTTACTAGAATGGAGAAAATTTGATTGGAACATAATAAAAGAGGATATTCATGCACCCAAAGCTTATGCTTGGAAAGTCTTCGTTATAGCTGTAAATATTTTTTAAAATCCGTATTATCACCCATAACACGATTCGGACAAAAAATATTGTAATTGGAAGAGCTCGACAAGCTGAGTTGAATGACACCAAAATTGTTGTATTTTGACACAAAAATCAGCTGATTTTTTGACAAAATGAACCCAAAATAAAACTTTTAGTTGAGTCAGAAGACTAATTTCGGTCTCACTCTTGTTGTGAATGGGCGTCAGCCCTTAAAGTGTTTAGTATAAAAGGACAGCCAATAGTTAGTTCGCTCTCCCAGTTTTTAGTTCTTCTGCCTACCTTCAACTGCTTTGTATTTCTTTGTGCAATAAACGTTTCTGTTAGCTTCTCTACGTAAGCGGGGTCGTAACAACTCTGTTATGTACGTGACTTGCTATGTCTACGTACTAACAAGAATAACAAGATAAGACAGTAACTAACAACTGTGCTTTATCTACAAGACTAAATACAATAGTAACGAACAATAGGAATATGGCTAACGCCGAATATGTGGAGCACTAGAATAAGACTGACTGAATAGAATAACGACTAAGAATAACACTAACAAACACTAACCGACACTAACCCCCGAATGGCTAAAGCCGTAGCCTTTTATACTAAGCACATACCCAACACACTCGACTCCGATCCCCGAGCTCTTTCGAATAACATAATATCTTAAAATTAAAAAAATTTTTGTTTAAAGGAAATTTATTCCCAATATGATACTTTTATGTACATGGACACTTCTATAGTAATAGATGATGCGGCATCGTTCAACCCTATTTATGAGGCTATAGATAATGGGAAAATTTCCGAAACTATATTTCCTGGAGGTTTAATTTGTTTTTAAAAAAGTTGAAGGTTGGCCCGGCTTTCGGAGCTAGTGCCGCCTCTGTTGATAAATACCCAGTTTTCGTGTTAGGTCCGATAGGCCGTTATTATGTATGTACACAAGGTTCCGTGACTTTTGCGCCGGGGAACCTTTGCGCCGGGGAACTTTTGCGCCGCGACTTTTGCGCCGTCTTCGGATATCCGGCCTTTTTCGGATCCGGATCCTACAACCCTTCGATATAATGCACACTCTTGTGCCTGAAAATCATGCCGGAATAGGGTTAGCAGATATATGCAAATTTCCTGAACCGAAAAAGTCAGCACATAATAAATCATTTGTGATATCGAATCCCGGGATTTCCAAGGTTCAGACCTAATTTATCATTTATTGTCCAGATAATTCATCAGATACCGTACCCCTATTTACTTCCTGAACTTCCTTCAGTTCCTGGATACCATTTTTTAACCCCGTGGGGTACAATAAAGTGAGGTCGGATTGTAGTTATTATTTCATTTTTTTGAATTAATGGCGGCGCAAATGTCGCGGCGCAAAAGTGATACCGTACACATACATCTGGTAAAGTATAAATTTTTGTTGCGATATAGTAAGGGCAGTGCCAAAATTGTTTACAACGAATAATTGTTGAATCCTGTGCATAATTCCCACATTTTAAACCTGGAAATTGGAGTTTCCAACCAAATAAATTTTTGGGGTTTCCGTGCTGTTCGACAAGCACAAACAATCATGTTAATCTTTCTATAATTGGATACATCCAACTTCCAAATAAAACGTGATGCTCGCTGCTTAGCTTATTTACTTGAGTGAATTTAAGTTAATAAAATAGTTAATTGAACTAAAATATATTTTGTACCTCACATTTTTAAAGTTGAAGAGATTTTGGGAAATCTTTTGTGGAATATTTTGGGAAATAAGTTAGAGAATCATGCCTGTATTGCCCAAAGTCACAGAAAATCTATGCCTCTATTGCCAAAAGCGTGTCCGGACAATGCGTCAGTGGCCAGTAGTTTGTCGGATAGTTGGAAATCTTCGGATATCCGGATCCGGTATCCGAACCGAAAATTTAGGATATCCGTCTTTTTTAGGATCCGGATATCTACTGGCCAGGTTTTGGATCCATTGCTGTTTCTGTTAATAAGTACCCAGTTTTCGTGTTAGGACCGATAGTCCGGTATCATGTATGTGTATTGTAAGGATGATTCACCCACCAGCATTTAAAACGCTTAGGCGGGGGTTAAACGATCTAAAAAGGAAAAAGAGTTAGTCGATGCCCCGGTAGCTCAGAGGTAGAGCTCCTGCATATAGTGAGCGAAAGCGGGAGGTCGCAGGTTCGAATCCTGCCCGGTGGCTAAACTTTTGCAAAAACTCTTTCTGTATTAACTATGGGTGATAGAATTTTTGCTTCGATACTCAAATAATCATGTTAATCTTTCTAATAGTCGGATATACCCGACTTCCAAAAACAAACGTGGATTTGCTTTTGTAAATTTAAGTTAATAAAATAGTTAATTGAACTAAACTATATTTTGTACCTCACATTTTGAGAGATGAAGAGATTTTGGGAAATAGTTCGAGAATTCGTACCTTTATTGCCCAAACTCCCTCCAACCTCGAAACTCAACCTGTAAAAATTAATTTTTTTCTTCTATTTTAGTAGCAATTCACAGTATCCAATTTGGAACGAACTATAGTGAGTGATAACTTATCATATCATTAGGAAGATTTTTTAAAAATTAAGGGACTTATACTTATCTTCCCTTAGCAGCTCATATGGTTAGATGGGATAGTGCAATGTACGAAGCTAATTTTATTATATTCCATAAAAGCGAGTATACAAGGAATCTGCTTAAATGGTAAAATGATTTAGTGATATTAAATACAGATTTTATAAATTCGAGACCCTACGAAAATAAATTCCACAGGAAGGCATAATAAAATAGAACCCCATCTTAATTAAAGTCACCCCCTCTCGTTAGAAATCTACACTGAATTAGAGCCCTAACTTAGTGTCAGTTAATTAGTCCAGTGACAGACCTATTTAAATAATGTTTAGGCAGACTTAACTTAATCAACATTTTTCTTGAAAATGCCTCGTATTATGGCGAAGGACTCTTATTGAGATAGAGATTGACGAGAGTTTTTTAAGTTACAGTTTTTCGTTAAGGAAGAACCTGAAAATAAATTATCTTAAGAAATCCATAGATATCCGTATCCAATACTGAAAATCTCCGGATTCAGCGGTAAATCCACTTAAGTGAGAGATGTTATTGGAGACATTTTTATTAAGAGACTATACTGAATACTTGGGTGACTCGAAAGTAATCTCTACATATCCAGACCAGCTCAAACAGCCATAAAAACTTCCAATATTTAGTTAGATATATCCAACCTCAAAAAAAAATATGGAGGTATATATTATATTCGTACCTCACATTTTGAGAGATCAAACCCGGATCCCCGACACTTTCGACCACGAAGGCTCGGGAAGCTACCCTAATTAAAATTTATTTTAAGCTAGATAATGTTGATTTTTTGTCTCAAGTCTAGTATTATTTTTGGTCTTGAGTCTTGGAGGGAACTTATTTACTTTAACTACCCACCCCATTTATTCGCAGGAAGTTCATCAATCAAACTTAATTTGTTCAGAAAGGTCAGCCTTTCATTCTTCCCCGATGTTACTCAATTTTCCCTGTGGCATGTTCAATGAGAGAAATTAATAAAAAAAGATAAATTTTTCTTTCCAATTTCATCAAAATAGAAGTTAACATTTGAATCAATATTCTTATTTTTGCCATTTCAGTTATTACCACATGGTTAGTCCTTGATTTCCTAAATTCGTTATCATCCTTTTTAATTATTCAAAATAGTGAGTCGTGAATGTTAAGATTTTTTTGATTCGTCCATGTTTATCTAACTAAATAAGCACAGCCGGAGAAGTTGAAACGCATGTAAAAAAGACAAGAATAAAAGAAAATGTACCAAAACAGTACATGGTCCTGCTTAACCATGTGGTAATAACTGAAATGGCAAAAATAAGAATATTGATTCAAATGTTAACTTCTATTTTGATGAAATTGGAAAGAAAAATTTATCTTTTTTTATTAATTTCTCTCATTGAACATGCCACAGGGAAAATTGAGTAACATCGGGGAAGAAAGAAAGGCTGACCTTTCTGAACAAATTAAGTTTGATTGATGAACTTCCTGCGAATAAATGGGGTGGGTAGGTAAAGTAAATAAGTTCCTCTTGGAGTTTTGGTCTTGGTCTTGGAAAAATTTTGTCTTGGGTCTTGAGTCTTGGAAAAATTTCGGTCTCGGACAGCTCTACAAAGTACAGATTTCCGGATATACGGATCCCTATCCCTAAACAACCCTAAGTTGTAGTACTTAATTCAATTTCAAGTACCCATCATTTTAAAGTACTATCAATTTTAAACTCAGATGTATCTAAATAAGATTCATTCTTATAATTATTATCAGGTCACTTCTTTGTGCAGCATCCAAACAGTGTATTGAGCCTGATAACTCTTTCATAAACTGCTCTTCAAATTATAATAATGTTGGAGATTGTCATAGATACGATCAGAGCGTTTTTGGAATTATCAATGTTAATGGGGAATATCAACGTTCAATTTTATCTGCAGGTAAAATCTGAAGTAAATCAATCATTGTCTATAAGTAAAGCTATAAGTAAAGCAGCTGGGCTATAGCTATTTCTCTCCTTTAGCTAGTGCAAAAGGTTAATCGGTGGCTGGGAGGAACCAGCATCTTCAATAGACCGGACTGATGTGTTAGCCATTACACCACGCCGCCTACTGCACAGCCTTAGGAAATTAATAGCTATATGCTTTACACTATTCTCTTTAATCTAGTACCAGTATATTCGCTAAGGTAGCTGGTATAACCCTAGCTTATACAGTGTAATTTCGGGTATATCCTAATCATAAAAGCACATTTGCCTTTTTACCTACCCACGCCGGTAAGCTTTAATTATCGGGCACATAAAAAAAGATATGTGGCTTGGTAAATTTTTCAAAACAGTCCCAAATTTTTGACATTTTCTCTACTAAAATTCATTGAAAATATCTCGTGTCTCCTGTCAAACCTCTAAAAACAAGAGATTCCTTGAGACACGAGATACACGACTAACTCCACCACTGGTCTATATCCAAAACTGAAAATCAAAGTACCTTATATCCTCCGTTAGTTTTCCTTCCTCAAATTACCCCCACTTCTATAGACTAGGATGAATGTGCGAGATTGTTTTTGACGGTGATTTTTTGGTGATTATAAGGCAATCTTCTCACCTTTTAATCAATGCCGCTGTCAAGGCAAATGGGTATTCGGCAAATGTATACGATAGGTTGAAACAATAATTATAGGGGCAATTATTCAGGAACTACTGTATCTAATCAGAACCCATAAAATCAAAAAAAGTTAATCTAAAAATTATTTTTCAGATAAAGATTTTCTACCTCATAACCATGGAGAACACCCTAAAAGAAAAGCGAAATTTAGTGTGCAACGATACAAAAAATTGGATAAAAATTTGGATTTTAAAAAGGGTGTAGAGTGTTGTCGATCATAATAAATTAAATTTAAAGTGTTTCAAAATTTTTTATTTTTTTTATTTTAATTTTCTTTATATTCTTTAATTTTTCAGTTTTTTAATGTTTAAATTTAGTCCACTAAATTTTGCAAATCCATAAATTTTGCAGCAAACATGACAAACAAAGAAAAACGCAGCAAAATTGTAGAGGAAATTAATTATTTAAATTTTGACAATTTAAAATAATTAAATCAGTTCACTTTCCTCTAGATTCATAAATTTATGTCTATTAAAGCATCCTATTTATTAAAATGGTCGGTACGGAGTATATTTATTTAAAGAATAAATCAATTATAATATCAAATTTGTGTTTTTTTATTATTATTTAAATTATTATGACTTTAATTGTTTTATGCTGTTTCTTATTTTTATTTTCATTGTGCCACGCTACGACATTGTTGTCGAATTAAGTGGCACGCCCTTTCGATGACATTTTTTTATGTTGATAAATAAATAAATAAATCACATTAGTGGACAAATTTGAACCTGTAATAGTCATAAATAAATATCAAAAGTTTGAGATACCTAATATTTCCTAAGATTCGACATCCATAGGAGCATTCTCTAATCCAGTAATCTTTTCTTCAACTTATATATCAGGTTGATGCCCCAATAAATCAGTTGTTAGGCGTAGGATTAATGCGCGGAAACGTTTTTGACGGTGATATTTTGGTGATTATAAGGCATTTCATTCACCTTTTAATCAATGCCGCTGTCAATTTTTTAAAATTTGTTTTTGTTTACAAGTGCATTCATATGAGTGTTTCCTATCATGTGTTATTCACAAGGGAATCAATTCCCTTTAATGTTGCGCCCTCTAATGCCCTTTATCATTTATAAAAGGCATTGCTATTTATTTTTAAATGCTACATGTCATAAGAAAAAATTTTTTTTCTTCGAGAAAAATTAAAAGTAATAACCCGTCATAAATTTATTTTGGATTTTGAACATGAAGTTCAGACCTTTATCTTCATGTTGACCTCCAATATGTATTCGAATATGGGATTTGTTCCGTAGAAAGGGACGAGCTCTTTCGAATGAGCTATCATTTGTATACTTTCTCGTCCTTTTGGTTTTTCGCCCCCATGGTTGTTCAATTTTCAGGGGTCTGTATCTCGGTCCAATCAAGTCGGATTTTGTTGATTTTGGTGTCATTCGACACAGCTCGATGGGTTCTACGATTGTTGTTCAGACTGACCATTTTTACATAATTTTCGAAAAAACTGACCGGGGGGGGGGGGGACTAAATAAGTACCGTAAAATTTTGAAAGCAGTTTGAATAAACGAGATATGCCCTTAAACCGCATAAGTTCCAAAAGAATAATAATTTTTAAAATTTTATCTTGTTTTGAGGCATTTAAAAATATGAATATTCTACTCTTTATTTTCGTAATTTTTAATTTATTTTCCTTCAACAAGACTGAAAAAACCCCATTTATTGAACACATAATTAGAATAACTTTTCTTAAAGGAATAATGTCTGGAATGTGTCAGGAAGAATTAAATTTGTTTCAAACTGAAAATGATAAAGGATTCGGGAAAATTTTGGATGAAGATGTTAGAAATGAGTTTAGAATGGCCTTTAGAATGTTTGAGGAGGAGAAGAGGGATATTAAAATGTGGATTAATATAATTAAGGTGTTATTGAGGAAATCTGAATATGAAGGAAATAATGGTGAGTGATTAACAGTGTTGGGTATTGGGCATTTGTAGCACCAGTCCTGTTACAACCAATTTTGTAACAAGGGTTAAATTTATTTAATTTAACAAATCTTTACCAATAGATTTCCAAACCAAAATTTAACCAAAATTATTTTATTTAAAATTTATTCCAAAAGAAAATTTATATTATAATATTGGGGTTAAAAACAAATTGAGGGAGAAGATGATTAATGAAGCAAGGAATAAGCTGAATATAACAATAATGTAAAGATTTATATAAGCCTAAAAATAAGGTTGAGGGAAATGTTAAAAACTATCAAAAAATGTGATGATTAATTTGAAGATGCAAGAATTTATAAAAAATATATAAAAATACATTTAAAATAATGAATCATAAAAAAATAATAATATTTTAATGTTTTAAATAAATTTTCCGGGGTCGGTCACGACAAGAGCCGGCTAAGGCTATCTCTTTGTTTTTAACCACGATTGGTTTTTCATACAGTAGTGTCAAGCAGTCGATCTGTCCGATAAAGTGTGACGATAAAGTCGAACGCAAAAATTTATACATGCGCATATTTGCCGAAAGTTTAAACAGCGGGGTAACGGAAATTATTACCTTCATTGACTAAATAAATAAAAAATAATTAAAGATTCTTCTCATAGTAACAAACAAAAGACAGGAAAGCAAAAGCTACAATTTAAAAAATTAAAAAATGATTTGATTGAGGAATTTCAAGAAGTAGAAAAGGCAAATGGAAATCTACTTGTTGCTTTTGAAGATAATGATGTTGAGGAATTGGACGATGAGGGGAATGACGAGAGTAGTGAGTGGAATGATGTGAGAAATGTGGGGAATGACGAGAGAAGTCAGGGGAATGACGAGAGAAATGTGGGGAATGAAAGAAGTGAGGGGAATGACAAGAGAAATGAGGGGAATGACGGGAGAAGTGAGGGTAATGAGAGAAGTGAGGGGAATGACAAGAGAAGTGGGGGGAATGACGAGAGAAATGAGGGGAATGGTGAGAGAAATGAGGGTAACATGAGGAATAAAGTGGAAAATAAGGGGAAGGATGTGAGGAATGAGAGGAGTATGGGGATGAATGCAAGGAATACTACAAAGATCGAGAGGGATAATAAGACCGATGAAAGAAATGAGTCTAACGACGAGAGGAGCAAAGATAGGGACGAGGTGAAGAGTGAGAGAAAAGTGCGGAATGATGAGAGGCATAAGGTGAATGCTCAGAAGAATGAGAGAAATAAATGGAAGAGCGAAGGGACGAATGAGAGGAACACAAGGGGCAAATACGGGAATGATCATCAGAATGAAAGGGATAATGGGAACAATAAAAAGAATAAGGGGAAAATAGAAGGGAATGAGTGGAACAAAGAAGACAAATTTCAAAAAATATTGCAACTTGTGTCTATTGAAATGGCTTGCATTGAGAGGGAATTGAAGGAATCTTTCAAGGATTTGGAGGATTCTAGCCCTTTGAAAGGACACAAAAAATTAGAAAGGAGTGAAACACAGAAGAAACGTGAAATTGAAGAGGAGGAATTAAATAAATTATATGTTGCAAAAAGGAAAATTGAAATTAACATTGACAACGGAAGGCTAAACAAAGTTTTAGATAAGTTAAAAGGTGGGTGAATAAATTTTCATCCACTCGTATAAGGATGAAACACAAGGGTTTTTTCTCTGTCGCGTTGCGAATTTTTTCCCAATTAGTCATACTTAATTTCCTTTCCGGTCGTTTATAAAAAATATTTTTTCCCAACAATTCTTAAGATTAAAGAGATAAGTCTTCCTTATATAAACTTTTCCTATAAACCCTTTTCGCAGTTTTCTTGTGTTCAGTTGTTGTTTTTTAGTGTTCATTCTTTTCTCATCTTTACAGCTTAGTAATCTCACTAGCTGATTTCTTATTGCAGTAAAGCAGCTGGGCTATAGCTATTTCTCTCCTTTAGCTAGTGCAAAAGGTTATTCGGTGGCTGGGAGCGAACCAGCATCTTCAGTAGACCGGACTGATGTGTTAGCCATTACACCACGCCGCCTACTGCACAGCCTTAGGAATTAAATAGCTATATGCTTTACATTGCTCTCTGTTCCCTACAGCCTGGCTGAACACTCTTTTTCCTTATCTTTTAATTCTGCTTATTCAATAAGCCAATCTTTAACTTTTCTGTTATTAATTTAAATTGTTAATATTCTTTTTGGAAATAAATATTGTAAAATATTTTGTGTTTAAGTTTTACTGAGCCTTAGGTTTACATTCGGAATTACTTTTACTCTCTCTTTTTCCGACATCTTGTTCTTTTGAAAATTGGTTTGAAACAGGGATCCTTCTGTCATCTGATAAAGACACTTTGAAAATTAATTTGTTGCCTCGGGTTCGCCTCCTTTTTTTACTTTTCCTGGTTACGCCTCCGCTTTCTGCTCTACTTGAATCTCCATTTTCTTTTGGATCCTACAGACCTAATATGTAGTCCAAAATTTTACAAGTTCAATAAATAATCCAATAAATATTACAGTTAACAACGAAGATGTTCAACTTATAAAGACACTTTTGCTCCATATGAACTTTTATGTTGAAGCTTATAATATAAACAAGGAAAGCCTGAAAAGCCTGTCATGGTTGAAGAATGTAATTATAAAAATAGGGGCAGAGATAAACTTGTTGAGCATAAACTCGCCTGGAAGGAAAATTTTGATAGATATTGTGAAGAAGGAATGGTCAGATGGCAAGGTCAAAATGTATTTATATAAAAATTTGAAGAATGGGATAACTGAATATGATAGAATTTATGATAGTATAAGCTTGGGTTATTCTGAATCAGAGAAAAGTGTAAAACACAAGCAGGTAGAAATTTAACTTCTAATCTATTTTAATGGTTATACGACATTCGCAAGCCGCTACAGCTGAGGACCATAAGGGGGGCTCGTAACATGATCCTATTCCTATCATCGATGAGATGGGCATCCCATGATTCCTCCACAGCAGCAAACACACCCACGGTGCATAGGTAAGTTAAAAAAGAGAGCGAAATGGGTCTAATCTGCAAATGTCGGATCTGCAAATGTCTGATCTGCAAAAGTGGGGTCTGCAAGTGTCGGGTCTGCAAATGTCATATCTGCAAGTGTCGTGACACGGTAATTATGAAGACATTTATTAGGATCTGGCAACAAAGTCAATCAACGCCCCAAAACCTGAATGTTCACACCACAAAAATAAATTGACTATAAAATGTAAAGGGAAGAAGAAAATGGGAGATATAAAAGAAACGTTAAATAAAAATAAACATATTATGCACAATGAATCAAAAAACATGCAAAAAGAAGCAAAAGAAATTAAAACAAATGATAAGGGAAAGCATCCAGTTTTAGTTAAAAATGAACACAAAAATAACAATGAAGCCAGAAATGTCCAAAACGAACATCAATTAGTTCCAGTGAATTTAACAAACAAAAGAATTTTGGCTTCGAATATAAATAAAGATAAAAGATATTCATTTTGGTGTTGTTGAGGAAAAAAGGGAAGAAGAGACAAGAATGATGGCAATATCATAGAAAATCCATGTACTATTAAGAATAAAATCGGATAGCAAATTTGGCCTTTTTTTCGCAAAATTATTATTTTTATTGGAAATTTATTTGTTTATTTAGTTGTCAAATATTATTTTTTTATTTTTAATTATTTTTTACATAGTATATAATTTTTAATATATATTTTTTAAATTATAAATGTTATGACTTGGACTTTTGAATTTTATTTCTATTGTCTATAAGTTGTTTGTAAATCATTGATGTCTAGGGAACGGATTACGGACTATTAATCGAAAAATATGGACATATAATATGGACTAAAAATCTTAAAATATGGACTGAAATATGGACTAAAATCCGAAATATGGATCAAATATGGACCAAAAACTGAAAATTTCTAACGTAAGCCCACTCTCGCACATCCACTAATTAATATCCACACACACACACATCCACTCAAATCCCGAATCCATATACACACATACAACATCCCAAATACCTAATATGTAACTCATTCATCATTAAACATTTACATCTTAAATAATCATATTTTTTTGTTTTTTAAAATAAATTTATAAATTTAGGAATTTTAGAGAATTTAAATTTAAAAAATTAACAATGCGCCGTCTAATTAGAAAATTGTAATAAAATTCTAAATTACTCATTCTTAATTTCATTATAACTATTTAAGTGATATCGAGGTTAAAATCCATATAGTTATCCTTGGAGATCGAGCACCACAAAATCATTTGTCAAATTCTCAAGCAACCAGCATTCTTAATCACGACCCTTCTGCTCCAGCAATTACTTTTAATGCACTTTATTTTGAGCGTATTCGTGCTCGAAAAATAACAACTCAAGAATCTTTTACTTCTCCACCCACGAGATGGGGCTTCCTAACGTTATGGTTTTGCAAACTTTAATAGTAAAGAATAGAAGACTGATGAATTTACATTCAACAACACCGATCAAATAGAACGATGAAATTATATATTTTGATGTACGTAACAATGCTTAGTAAACACCAAAATTGATCCATAAAAAATGTCAATCAAAAAATAATTTGATTTATTTGACAAATGGTTTGTTCTCTATCGTCATCAATTTGAAAAAACTAAAAAATAAAAAATGCAAAAAAATTACAGTTAAAAGAACCTCCATAATATTTAAATCATTTTCATTATTTTCAAATTCCTCTATGAATTTATTGTTCTCCTTTTGGTTGTACTCCTGTATAAGTTCTTCCGCTTCCTAATAGAAAAAAATTTTTTTAATTACTGAAAAAACAACCATGCTTGCTCAGACACCCATCGATTAAATCGATGGTTGAAATTTTTCCACTTCACTAAAATATTTTTTACCATTTTTTATTTTATGATTTAATATCTCTTCTACTTCGTAATGGTCCAATTTAAAAAACAAAAAAAAATTTTTAGATTTTACCCATCTAATTTTCATATATATTCTTTAATATATTAATTTTTCAAACACGTTTATTTAATTTTATTCTTTCATTTGTACTATTATTCTTGTTCAAATTTAAAGAAAAGGAAAGATTGTATTTGCAAAAAAAGACATTAAAAGAACCGATTTATATGTTTTTCTTTTCTTCAAAAAAACAAATGTTTATAATTCCATCAATTTGATTACTTTATTAACACAGACAAGTGAAATAATAATAACCAATGGTTCGGTTTATTTTGAAGACAAAAACAAAAACAAAAAAGTGTCAATTATAGATTTTACTTGTAATTTTTGATTTATGAGGTCTATGATAAGTGACTAATGCTTAATTAAGGCGACTGTTAATAATTAATCAACTGTTAATAATTAACCAAATCCTTTTGATTTGACGACAAAATGTGACTTTGATTTATGAGGTTTATGATAATTAAGACAACAATCATACCTTTAAGTTTTGCGCGACGACAGTCATGTTCCCCCACAACCACTTGTTAACCCTTATTTCCCTCAAAACAGCTGTTAAAATCCTTCTTTTCCCTTATGTTTTCCCTCCAACCCCTTCTTATCCTTTTGACTTTTCATCCGACCATTTCACATCCTTTAGGTTTGTGCGGGAACGATGACGACGACAAAAGGTGGATGTATACTACTGTGGTTTTCTGACTTAATTACTGCGGCTGCGGAAAATTTTTTCCATTTGCATTCAGCCTGATCGCGATGGTCGTTCCCTGCTTACAATAGCGGCTAAATAAAAAGTAAAGAAAATAAAAATATTTAAAAATATTGCCCTTTAACTTCAAAACAAAATAAAGCTACTATTGTGAAATTTATTTTGTCAATAATGTCTAGCAAAACAAAATTTAAAGTGCTGCCAAAGATAAAAGGAAAGTATTTCCGTCAATATGAAAAGCATATGAATATCTTTTAAAAGAGGCGACATACTCGTTTTTAAATTTAGCCTTTCATTTTTGTTTTTAAGCGCTTTTCCTTTTTATGTTTTTTACTTTAACCTTTTTAAATAAATTTATTTTTTCTTTAAACAGAGAAAATTGTATTTTATAATAGGGTGTAAATTGAATAAGTGGTATTGTTTAGACATCCCTTCTTATGTGGTCAACCTTAAGATAAAGTATAGTAAAGCAGCAGGGCTATAGCTATTTCTCTCCTTTAGCTAGTGCAAAAGGTTATTCGGCGGCTGGGAGCGAACCAGCATCTTCAGTAGACCGGACTGATGTGTTAGCCATTACACCAGCCGCCTACTGCTCAGCCTTAGGAAATTAATAGCTATATGCTTTACAATTATTATAGGATTAAATGCCATCCAAATTAATTTGTCTTGGCTTTATTTTTTCTTTTATATCCCTCTTTTGCCCAATAAACTGTGAAAATTCAAAAAATCAAAAACTTGGGGAATATATAGTTAGCATAACATTTTTGGACGAAATCATGTCAGGAAGATGTGAGCTCAATATGGAACTCAATAATGAATACTCTGGTAGGCGCTTCACTCACCACATACAGGAGCTCTAACACTGAGCTACAGGGGCATGACTAATGCTTTCTCTTTTATCCTTTAAGTTTTGGCTCCCACTTAGGCTTGAGTCGGCTCCAGTGTTTATAAGCTCGTAACAAAATTCTGTACTCGTACTTTGGTACTGTTATGTACGTGACTTGTATGTCTACGTACTAACAAGAATAACGAGATAAGACAGACTAACAAACTGTGCTTTATCTACAAGACTAAATACAATACTAACGAACAATAGGAATATGGCCGACGCCGAATATGTGGAGCACTAGAATAAGACTGACTGAATAGAATAACACTAACAAACACTAACCGACACTAAACCTGAATGGCTAACGCCGCAGCCTTTTATACTAAGCACATACCCAACAGGTACGAGTACGAGCAAACCTAAAATTTATGAACACTGGTCGGCTCTGAAAATAGCTCCCTTATCCAACTCAACTCTAATAATTAAACTAGATCTATTCTCGTTGTTGGATGGCAAAATTCGCGATGAATTTAAATATGTAAAATTTCAATACGATACAGTTTATAAGAACAATTCTATAAAATTGTTAATTACTGCAATTGGAAATTTAGTAAAGACATTAATGTCTAATGACTTTACTAAAATTAAAAATAAAGGTAAATTTGTTTCTTTAAACTTTTGTACGATTATAAATTCAGGAAATTTTCAAACTGCAACGAAAACACAAGCTGTTAATAGGAAATCACTAGGTAAAACTTAATCCGCGATTGGATTCTTTTTTGTAACATGGCTGGGTCATCTCCAATATAAAAGGATGGTACTGCTCGACTCAACGCCTTTTATTACCCTATTAGAGTTGTCGGTTCTGGACCGAACCGAACCGAAGAACCGATGATTTTTCGGTTCGGATATCGGTTCGGTTCCGGATATCCGAAGATTTTCCAAGAACCGACAACCCTATACCTGATAGTTTTTTTCTTAAAATTTAAAAGAATTTTTTAGAAAAATTAAAGCAATCTAAATTGACTGAACCTTCTCCTAAAAAAGTTAACAGAAAACTTATTTTTGATGGAAAAGATGATACAGTAGAGTCAGGCAATGGTAAAAAAGTGATTGAAATAAAAGAAAAAATTAAAAAACAAAATGAGGCCTATAAAATAGTCGGGCAACTTTTGCTTTTAGAAATGAACTGTTTAGAATTTAAATTGAAAGGGGAAATGACAGGAGAAATTGAAGAAGAAAGTGAAGAGGCTTTGTTGAAAATTTATTCTATAAAACGTAAAATTGAGCATGATATTGAATATGGATCATTTGCTTTTGAACTTAATAAGCTATACATTTGTAATTATTTTTAGTTTAAATTACAAGATTTTTATGAAGCTAAATAGTCGGAATTATTGTGTGAACATTTACTTTTATGGTCTAAATTAGGGTCCTTAAGGGGTCTTTAAGTTTGGGATCGGTGTTTGTAGTGTTACGAATGGTGGAGTCGGGTCGGGCTTGGCAAATCATCCGGCATAAGGGTACCGTACTACCTAGCGTGATTGTTATTTCTATTATTATATTTGTTATTCCGGGTCAGTCAAATTTTGAAATTCATTTGTATTTATCGGTACGGTATTACGTTAAAGAATAAGTTACGATACAACATTCTGGGTTTTAGTAAGAACCTAGCCAGAGCCCGGGTATACTAGAGTCTAGCAATACATTGGTACTTCATTTTAACCTCTCGCTGGAGGTAGCTTATTTGAGAGCTGTTATGTATCTGAGAATTTACGGTATACTATATGTGGATTCGGACCAGGGATGTCACGGGTTGAGAAAAATGTCGGGTCGGGTCTTCAAAATTTTCTTCGGATCGGGTTTCGGGTCAAAAAAAAGTCCGGGTTTCGGGTATAGTTAAAATTTGAACATGAAGCCAGAATTTTTGGAGCTGTTGGGTTATATCAGATATTTAGTGGGTTAATGTGTGTGTCCAATATACTTCCAAATCACCGATATGTCCCAAATTCACCTTTATTCCTCAAATCCCCCTATATTCGGGGATTAAGAGATACTCTTATTCATCAGCGCCGCAGGCGAAAATTATGAGATTTTTGGATGGATTGTTCACCTATTCTACAAAAAACTCGGGTCGGGTTTCGGGTCGGGTTTTGAAAAATAAAAATTCTCGGGTCGGGTTTTAGAAAATTTCTCGGGTCCAGTATCGGGTCGAGAAAAGGCCGGGTTTCGGGTATCGGATTTCGGGTAATCCGTGACATCCCTGATTTGGACGATAACTCCGCTCTTTATCCCTACAAACTTTAAAATATAATTTATTTTTATATTAAAGTTTCTTTCAAAAAACAATTTTTAAAAACATTAATACTCTATTCGCAACTCTACAACAAAGTATTCAATGAAATTCAGGAGGAAGAAAGACAGTTTACAGATAATTCGTATTTTTTAACAAGTCTGCTTTCCGAAATGAACAATGAAATAATAAAAATAGTAAATGTAAAATCCCCAAATTTGAACGAGTTAATTCGAAATAAATTTACAAAAATGCCGGCAAAGGAGGAAAATATCGAAAATTATTTAATTAAAAATTTAAAGGAAAGTAATGGGGAATATGAGGAGATACCTCAATTTGAAGGCTATGAGGAGAATAATAGAGAGCCTGACGGAAGAAAAGATTCTGGAAAGGAAGAAAAAATTGGAAATAGTCTTACTAATGTTGGAAAGAGGTACTTTTCCGTTATGACGTAACCCCCTAAATTAATGTTCAAAATGTCATATTTAGGGTAGAAAAAGGTGCCGAGTCAGCTCGAAATTTTGATTTTGAGACGAGATTAACAAGCTCAAAATGGTCAACGTAAACCTATGGGGCGTAGGCGAGGCGCACTCCCCCATATGGTTTTTGACCATTTCGAGCCCTATATCTCGGTCCACAGGCATCTCCGTGAAAAGAGTGGTACCGTTCGACTCAGCACCTTTTTTACCCTATATATGACATTTTGAACATTAATTTAGGGGATACGTCATAACGGAAAAGTACCTGGAAAGATATTTAGAAAGCCTACTGGAGGAAAAAACGCTTGGCAGGGAGGAGTTGGAAATACCTCTGGTAATGTCGGAAAAGAAATTAGAAAGTCTTTTGGAGGGAAAAAATATGGAGAAGAGGAGAAAGTTGAGAAAAATCTTAAGAAGGTTGGAAAGGACATTAGAGATCGGACCGTACCGTACCACGGCCGTATTTTTCGGTATTTATCGGTATTCCGTATCGGTAGTACGGCACGGAATACGGTACGGCAAAATTTTGAAGTTGATCGGTATTTTTCGGTATTCCGTACCGTTTTACGGAACCGTAAAATTTTGAATTTTATCGGTATTTATCGGTACGGTATTACGGTACGGTATTACGGTACGGAATACTGTACGGAATTATACGGTATTATGGTACGGAATAAAATTCCGATCTCTAAAGGACATTAAGAAGAAAAGCGTTGGAGTGAATGAGGGAATTAGAAAGTCTAGTAGATTGAAAAAAGTAGGAGCTGAAGAAAAAACTGGAAATAACTCGAATAAAGTTGTTGATAAACAGAAGAATGTTAACATAAAAATTGGAGATTCTAGTGAAGGAAAAAATGTTGGAGTGGAAGACGTTGGAACTAGCCTTAACACGTTCAAAAATAATAAAATTAATACTGAGAAAAACATTGGAGAGTATAAGGCTCGTAAAGCTTCTTTTGGAGGAAAAAAAGTTGGAGAAGAAGAAAAAGTTCGAAATAGCCCTAATAAGGTTGGAGACAAGAAGATTAAAGAGTATAAGGACGTTGGAGAGACTAGTGGAGTAAAAAAAGTTGGAAATAACCTTAATAAGGTTGGAAATAATAAAATTAATATTAAGAAGAATATTAACACAAATACACCCAAAAATAAATTAATCCAAAATAAAGGTTGAGTTGGAGAAGCTAAATACTTCGAAAGTTTAAAAAAGAAAAGTTTTGATATGTGTGATATTAAAATTAAAAAAAATTTTTCTTAATGAAAATTGGTGTTAAAATAATTTAAAGTAATTTTAGTTAGAGTTTTCGAAATTTTGATTATTTAAGTCATGAATAAATTAGATTAGATATTTTTGTTTTATTAAATAAATTGTTATGTTTCCCACATGGATGCATTTGGCATCAAAGGCCTACATAAGGGCCTACACATTCCAATAAGTTTTTTAGCCTGAAATCCCGCCTATGGGTCTTGACCATTTTGAGCACTTTATCTCGACTCAAACTTCTTCAATCAAGCCAATTTTTGGTTCATATGACTCAGCTCGATGTACTCTTTCGAATACTCTATTATTTGCATATTTGAATTTTTTATCCCAAAATCAAGTTTATCCCCCTATGGTTTTTCGATTTTCAATTGCTTCTATCTCTGCGAGTTTTCGCGTCCCGCAGAAAATTTTTGCATATTTGACACATTTTTTTACTTATCTCCACCTACTTTTCCTCTCTCCTTGCATCCAAGGTACCTGATTTTCACATTCACACCTTTTTATAAATCTACCTACCAGTACATATAAGCTTAATATTCAACACAAATTTATGTCTAATTATAACAACATATAATTACAATAATTTCAAATTTAACAATTAATGTCCTTGATATTTGTTTAGTTATTCTTTTTGGAACCTTTTTTCGGCACTTTTGCGTTGTTAGATTTTTTGTTTGAATTTTTGTTCTTTGAATTGGTGTTTGTCTTTTTTGCACCAGTATTAGAGGATGGGGCTTTTTTTGCAGCACCCCCTCCGCATCTGACACCTTTAAACAGTGATAAATATACTAAAATAGGTTAATTAAAAACCAGTATTCTTTGATTTAATATAATTCTTCACTATACGACCGGAGGTAGTCAATCGGTCATCATTGCCTACTTGAGAAGAAGTCGTTCCAGGGGTGAGTGCTGCAGCCCCTTCCGCCTTGTTCGAGATAGCCCAGTTGAGGTTAGAAATTTTTTTACTATCCAAGAAGTTATACCACTCTTGTGTCGAGCCTTGATCCACTCCACCACCTCCACTTGCATCAACGGTTCCGTATTCAGTTACAAAGATACAGGCTCCCTTAAGTGATATTTGTATAAAATTATTGAAGTTGAAGTGTTAATTCATAATATATCAGACCTTATTCATTGCAGCCTGTGCCTTGTCTCTTAAGTTTTGTTTATGAGTTGCTGCGTAGAAGTGCAAAGTGTAGCAAAGGTTTGAACCTCTTACAGCATTATTAGCAGCAGTATCAACATCTTGAGACCAAGTTGTTGTACCGAGAACGATGACATTCTTTTTGTCATATTTTCTAATTTCTGCAACAACTTGCTCATGATATGATTTTACACCATTCCAGTCCACTTGTAGTGGCTCATTGAAAGTCTCATAAATGATATTTGGGTATTTAGATCCGTAGTTTTGGGCAAAATATGCGAAGAATTCTTTCTGTTAAGTTAAAAAATATTTTTATATACTCAGAAAATTGATATTGAGTAAAGCTAGGGTTCTAATTCCGACCTTGATCTCCGTTAATATATCTATCCTCAAGTCCACAGTCACTTTTCTAACATCGTCTTTCGAATAAAAAGTGCCCCAGACGGGTCGGGATCAAACATAACTTCAGCCAAGAAAACTGATAAGTAGGGATCGGATTTATATTTAAATAAGGCACAAAAACGACCTTGGTCATGAACAAGCCTTGACTGACCAGTGTCTGAACATTGAGTTCTAATAGAAGAAAGACAGAAATAACCAGTGATAGATGTGTTAAAAAAATAGGTAGACAGTGGTCAGTTCGCGGGTTGGGCCGCTTCAGTGATTTATTTAAATATAAATCCGATCCCTACTGGTAAGTATAATTTTACCACTTACAGCTTGTTTCACATGTCCCTGAGCATTGTGGTCGTGAAAGTCAATAATAACATACATATCCAACTCTATCGCGGCCTTAACAACTGCTTCGACCTTTCCCCGCTCAACATTTGTGGCATCCAGGTAACCCGGTCGTCCACATCCAGAATATTCTACACCCATTGCAGCTCTAACAACATTTGAATTCCAAGAGCATTTAAGACTATTTACAGTTTCTCTGTTATAAAAACCTTCTCCTTCACCACAACTCGACCAGAAAAGTGACATTCCAACCAGTTGAACTGGTTGTCCATTACTGCCCACTAATTGACTTCCTGAAGAAATTTTATTTATTTAAAGTTTAATTAATAATAAATTAAATATTAAATACCTTTCACAGATAATTGCCCATATGGAGGGGCAGCGTGAACTTGAAGATAAAATGTGAGGGATAAAAATGCTAATAATGAGAGGGAAAACATTTAATAAATTTTTAAACTTAATTTGATTTCTGCTTAATATTAATTTTTAATTAGTTGCTTTTATATTTTTAAATTTTGGGGAAAGGTCAATAACTCATTTACTCAGTAGTCATTAATAGTTAAAAATTTTAATAAATTCACAATCATGTGTTCAAACAGAAAATGTTATGTCCGGCAATTTACTGGAGTAGACGGGCACGCAGTCAGACGCGATTTACACATACATAAAGGGTACAGCCCAAGTAGGCGCAAAGCTATAAGCTGCTTCAAAACTTCCGGATCTTTCGAAATTTAGTATTAAACGCTTCCTCTCATTGAGCTAAAGAGATCGGTACCAAAATTAGTAAGGGCCAGAAATTTTCCAGCTAGTTATGGCTTTGCGCCTACCTGGCCGCGCGCCTACTTGGGCGTGTCCTATACATAAAGTATCATAGTAGACGAGTGTAGCAGAGACATAACTAAACTAACGAAGAGATCAATTATAATATTAGAATTTTCAAGAGAGATATGTATGAAAAGTATAGATAGTTAAAAAGGACTTCAATTAGTTGAATTAAAAATTCTGTCCTTTTATTTGTATAACTTTCAAAATTTCAAAGTGCCAAAGTACTTTAACTATTATTTGATATAAATTTATACAAGTCAATAAATATTTTATTTACACAGCAGTCGTTAATAGACAAATTTTGTTATAAATTTAACTTAACAATTTATAAAGATATACTCAATCGGAAGTTTAAGCCTCATAAGCAACTATTCCTTTTGTTTTAATCTAAATTAACTATATTAACTTACTAATATTTTATTTACGCAGCAGCGACTTTTTGTACTTTACATATACCTACTTTATATTAATATTCTAGACAAAATCATTCAATTTTTTAATATAAATTTTTAAAATAAAATTTGTTTGCGTGAAAGGTTATTCAAATTTAAAAAAGTCTGAATTTTATTTGAACAAACCTTTTTTATCATTAAAATTTCTAGTAAATCTAATATACTGAATATTAAATATCCTTCCATTACTTTTTTTCCAATTTTTAACTGAAAGGAAAAGTCCCCAGTTTCTCTCGCACTTATTTCTAAGTAACTGTCAACGTTCTTATAGGCATCAGACAAGATCGTTTTCTGGATACCTTTAATACATCACCTTCTATTACTTTCAATTTTGGCATATTCATCAACACAATGCTGTTCTTCAACACAATGGAATTTTTTTCCATCTCCGACGGATAGAATTTTTTTAAAAATTTCTCGGCCATTTTAATTCCCAAAATACAGAGTGCCAAAATATTTTTCTTAATTTTTAATAAATAAATATAATTTCTTTAATTTTTCTTTAATTCTATTTATTTTTTAAATTTTATTTCTCATTTGCTTTTGTCTTATTGTTTGGTTCAAATCTCTATCTCCTATAATCTCTCTATAATCCTTAACGTAAATTGCAAATAAAAAATAAGACGCTATATTTTATCTATGCACTTTTGTCAGGTTTATGCGTCCCGTGAAAATTTATGCGCACCAAAAATAATTTCTTTGGGTCGCACATATTTCTTAAATATTACTTTCTCAAAAAAATTTCAAAATATCCACCCTTATTTTTATATTTTGCACTTGCCCTCATACGTTAATATGAATTCTCTCTATTACTAATGCATATAATGGGTTGACCCAAAAAGAATGAGCACTCGGATGTGAAATTTTTTACTGAAACACTCGTATGGGAAATTCTACCACATCCACCTTACTCACCGGACATTGTGCCATCTGATTATCACTTATTCCTGTCTATGAAAAATCATTTACGTGAAGCTCAGTTCCAAAATGATACGCAAATCAATAATTGGGTAACTGATTTTCTAGAGGCAAAATCAGCTACAACTTTTTATCAAAAAGGAATTAAAAAGCTGCCCAGAAAATGGCGACAAGTAATAGATAATAATGGGCAATACAGTGTTTCTTGAATGTTTTTTGTTTTTTTTGTTATAGTAAATTATTTGCATTATCCATAAATGGCTCATTCTTTTTGGGTAAACCCATTAAATACTAAAGTAAAGCTAATCTCAGCTCCATATCTAACTCTGAGATGTCTAAATTTAATATTATTCCTTTATTTTTAATTGTTTTATTGAATATTCAAAGCAACGGAAAATTAATTCAAGTTGAATTAAAAATCAAAAATGATTGGGAAGAAAAAAGAGAATTTATTTATTTAAAAAATGTTGAATTAAAAGAGCGTTTTGATGTGAATATAATTGAAAAGTGTAATAACCAGCACGAAAGTTTTAAGAAAAATATTGAGGGATTTTTGCGTAAAATTCAATTAAACCTTAAAAGAAATATTTTTAATGGCTTAAAAATTGATGATAGATATTATACTATATCTGATCAATTAAAAAATAAAATTGTGATTGAACTTTCCAATAATGAAATTATTCAAGGAATTTTGTCTGGATTTGTGAAACGGGTATCTTATTTTCTGTTTATTTCAATCCTCAATATATAATAAATTATGACTGTTGTTACCTAGAAGAGAGTGGGCCCTGTCCCTTTAGATACACAACAAGTTCTTCACAATTCATAAGATTTATTTAACGAATTAAATATATAAATTAAGTTTGAAATCAACATAGGTGGAAGGGGAAAAAGCTAGTTGCAAACATAAAACTATTCGAATAATCGGAAAAGCTTAGTTTGTATAGCATTAAGTGGGTGTGTACATTGGCTATTTAATTGTAAAGGAGTGTATGGGAAAATGAATAAAGTGTTTGGAAATAATTGATTGGGAAATTCGTGTCAGGCTAAAATTTTTCCTCAGGACCGTATTTTGGTCGTTCCGCCTTTTGGCCGTTCCGTATTTTGGTAAGACCGTGTTTTGTCTGTTCCTCGTTTTGGTATGGTCCGTATTTTGGTCGTTCCGTATTTTGGTAAGACCGTGTTTTGTCGTTCCGTGTTCTGTCTGTTCCGTGCTTTGGAATTCCTGGTTTTGCCCCTCACCCAGGAAATTAAATAATAGAATTAGGGACTAATATATGAATGTATCTTACAATACCCTTATTTCTTTATTTAAACTTGAGAAGCACAACAGAAAACGACTTCTTTTTATTTCCATTTTTCCATATTTTTCATGTTCCGAGCAGAGCAGTGCTGTGCGTGCGTGCTAAAAGCATAACGCCAAAAATCTGCCAAAAATGGATGCCAGACGCCAAAAGTTATGACGCTCAATCCTTGTTCCAAGGAATAAAATAATTTTAAAAAATTTAAGGTGCTCCGATATAATTATTTTATTCAAAATAATAATTATTTTGAAACTTCTATATTAGATGAAAGTTTAGAAAATACAAAAATAAATAAAATAGAATTATTAAAACAAAATATGGAATCATATAAAAACAAACTTTTATCAAGTTATTGGACGGAAATTAATTTAATTGGATATAAAATTGAATTGTTAGAAAAACAAAAAGTTGAATATTCGACTAAATTAAATAGCAGAATTAATTTTATTGGCTATAAAATAAGTAAATATTGGGTTTTATTTTAAAAATTTCTAAGATCTCTCTCATTAGCCAAATTTGGCCAGTCTCAAAAATATTTTCCCTATGGCGGTCAAAAATAAATTTTATTTGTAAATAATACTGTTATGTATCGACTTGCGGTGTGTCCGATACTAACAGAAAAGAGACTTGACTAACAAACAAAGGTTTATCACAAGGCAACAATACAATAGAAATAGGCGAGACTATATAACACTAGACTAACTGTAGACTGACTCACTAACTTCCCGACTACTAAAAGGCCTTGCCTTTTATACTAAACACGCCAACCTAACAAATACTTAACTTTTAAATATTATAGTTGAAATTCTTGAAACTAAGAAACAACATTGTTTCAATTGCCATATAAACCAAAATAAATACTGGTATATATTTTTAAAAGAGCATTATTTGTGCAAACTATGTGGGAAATATAAACAAAGAACTAAAAATTTTAGATCAGAGAAAGTAAATAGCTGGTATAAAGTTAAAAAGGTAATTCATCCGTAGTCCGTAGTAGCCGCAGTCCGTAGTACTAGCGCCGTAATCCGTAGTACATTATCGTCATTTTTTGAGTGCGTCTGTATGATTCTAATGATTTGAAAATTTATCACATTAGATGACAACGAAGAAATTTTTCTGGATAAGGGCTATTCACTATCTTGTAGGAAATTTCAAGGGCTTTCAAATAAGCCCAAAATGAAATTTTTATTTTACCTGTAAGGGGTCGAAAATATTTTTTAAAGACGTTTACCCCCGTTTTCCGTTGATTTTTGGATTTCGAGATCTCGATGAGGGGAGTACATCAGAACTTTTTTCTTTTGTATTTTCTCTTGATATGACTAGATAAGTTTACATGAATTTTTGTAGATTTTTTGAATACCCCTAATGTCGAAACTTGAGGGTGGTCTTATTATTTTGTGTCACTCATTTTTAATGAATTTCACGAAATTTCGCATTACGTTCTAAGTTTTTAAATTCGAAATCGAAAGTAAAAAACGGCGGAAATCAGAATTCCGACCCACCTCTGGGACGAAACGCAAAGTGACAAAATTTACTTTAGGAGGATCGTCATTGCATTAAATGTGGAAGTACAAATACACGAACATGGTACCGTCATTCAGAACCTGGGCAATATTTATGTTATAAATGTGGGCAAAAACGAATGTATGATATTAAGAAGAAAAGAAATAGTGATTTAAACGGTTTATGATTTATTTAAATATGGAATACAAGAAGGAAGATAAAAAACAAGGCATCGAACTCGACCCTTTAGCTTTGCAGTTTTTTTTTTGAATATTCTGCTTTTTCCAGTAATTCTGATTTGTTTCTATAAAGTAAATGTCTCAAATGTCAAAACCGCAATAGTCTGGGCCGCAAGTGTCTGGGCCTCAAGTTGATAGCCGCAAATGTCTGCGCCAAAAATTTCTTAGCCGCAAGTGTCGGGACCGCAAGTGTCAAAATAGGGGCGAGCCGCAAGTGTCTGGGCCGCAAATGTCGGGACCGCAAGTGTACGCGCCGCAAAAGTCGCATCACCTGCATTTGCATCTTTTGTTATTCCCAAGTCCCACTAAAAATGTAGCTTATCTTTACAAAATATTTTTAAATTTTATTAATTTAAATTTATTTTTTAATTAATTGATTTACTTTTTAAAAACTCTATTTTTGGTATTTTTTAAAAATAAATAAAAGCCAAATTTATTAATTCAAATAATAAAAAAATTTTCTCTAAAATTAAAGTGTTTATTCATCCGTAAAATTTAAAAATAAAATTTTTAAAAAAATTTTTAAATAAATCTAAATTAATTTTTTTAAAGAGAAGAATAATTTATTTACACAGATTTAATACGTTTCTCTCCAATTGCCAATTATAAACTTAAATTAAGGAAAGTTGAAGGGAAGCGAACGGTGAATTTTGGCTAGACTTGTCTAGACAGTTTAAGCTTACGGAAGCTTCTCAATTTAGTCATGCTGCTTTTTGCGGAACTTTTATGCGGATTTTTTATGGCTATGCGGACTTTTTCGGTATTTTTCTTGTACTGCGGAATGACAGAAAATTTTTGTTTAGACTTTTGACCTTGCGAATAAGCATTTGTAAGTCATAGTTAACTAGAGTTTTGTCAAATTAAGACTGAGATAAATTGAGGAGCTTTTTTGAGAAGCTTGCTAAGGCTAATGGGAACTTATGCAGTTTAAGTACACACCCCATTTATTCGCAAGGCACCCCCCCCCCCCAATATAACTCGCCAATCATCCCATTTATTTACATGCTAACAATAAGCCTATATAAATGCGCTCTATCCCGACCAACCTTTGACTCTCGCGAGACATGCCTAAAACCCTACGTGAAGCGCATGGTTTTGCACAAGCGTCTAGCCAACTCCCTTAGAAAACACAAAGCGTCTAGCCAACTGCACAAGCGTCTAGCCAACTCCCTTCAAATTAAGACTGAGATAAATTGAGGAGCTTTTTTGAGAAGCTTGCTAAGGCTAATGGGAACTTATGCAGTTTAAGTACACACCCCATTTATTCGCAAGGCACCCCCCCCCCAATATAACTCGCCAATCATCCCATTTATTTACATGCTAACAATAAGCCTATATAAATGCGCTCTATCCCGACCAACCTTTGACTCTCGCGAGACATGCCTAAAACCCTACGTGAAGCGCATGGTTTTGCACAAGCGTCTAGCCAACTCCCTTAGAAAACACAAAGCGTCTAGCCAACTGCACAAGCGTCTAGCCAACTCCCTTCAAATTAAGCCTAGGATAAATTGAGGAGCTTTTTTGAGAAGCTTGCTAAGGCTAATGGGAACTTATGCAGTTTAAGTACACACCCCATTTATTCGCAAGGCATTCCCCCAATATAACTCGCCAATCATCCCATTAGTTTACATGCTAACAATAAGCCTATATAAATGCGCTCTATCCCGACCAACCTTTGACTCTCGCGAGACATGCCTAAAACCCTACGTGAAGCGCATGGTTTTGCACAAGCGTCTAGCCAACTCCCTTAGATTTGGGTGACCATTTTGAAACTTTTGACCTTGCGAATACATGGGGTGTGTACTTAAACTGCATAAGTTCCGGCTAATGAAGCTCCTCAATACTTTTTGTGTACCTTATTTTGTGTACCTTATTGTGCGGATTCTTAGTTAATTTTTTGGCTCGTTTATGTAGGGTACTGGCGAGCTACCGTTTAGTTTTACGGAAGCTCTGAGCCAACCCAAACGCCTCGTCTACGGATTTTGCGACTTTTTTTTGCGGACCTTTTGCTGACTTTCAATGGATTTTCTCTCTCTCTGCCAATTTTCTTGTTTCTCTCATGAAAGTCGTGAGAGAAACCTCGCCATTTTTTTGAATACGTGGCTTTTCTGGCTGTAAAATTTAATAAAAAAATTTAAATTTAGCGTCAGCAATTTTAAAATTAAAATATGTACAAACTAGAAAATCTCTCTTATTTAAAATAAGCAGGATACCCTTCAATCTATCCACAATCCAAAAAACTTTCTAATAAAAATTCTCCTCTAAAATGTCATCCTTTTTTTATTTTTTATTTATTTCTGTTAGTCTTTTGATTCTTGCTAATGCTGATGATGCTGGTAGATATCCTTCAGGAGATGATTTAGTTCAAGGTGTGTTTTACGGAAGCCTCCCCCTCCCCAAAAGGCATTAGTCTAGTTACCCGAATCACGATACCGGGACCAGGGGTGGGCGCAAGAGACAATCTCAAAAAACGCAAGACGCAAAACGCAACGCAAGGCCAAAATTTAACGCAAATAACGCAAGACGCAAAACGCAAGAGCGCAAAAATAGGGAAAAAATTTTTTTAATCAAGTATTAGTCATTTTTCAGTTAAAATAAAGTATTACTATAAGTCAGCGTTTCCTACTCGACTTTGTGATACATGTAAGTTGGATGGGTATTGATTTGGAGTTATCCTGGATAAAAGGGATTATGAACGATATCAGAGGATTTAAAGGGATAATTTGGAGGGATCAAGGAAATCATGGGATTATCGAAGGATGTCGGGTGAGTTGGGGAGATAGCAAAGGATGAAGGCTATAAGTAGTTATGGATTGATATGGGGATAACGGGAGACTGATCTCCAGATAATGAACCGATATTCTTCTGAGCCGTTCCATGATGGAAAATTGATATTTAAATACTCTAATTTTAGCGCCGCAGGCAATAATTTTAGGAATTTTGGAAGGCCATAAAGCCAGATTTCTTCCTTTTTTAGCGCCGCATGCGAAAATTTTCAGAATTTTGGAAAGCCAGAAAACAGATTTTTTCCAATTTTGCCCCCAGATTAGAAGATTAACGGGAAGAATTAATTTATTAATCTCTAGATATATTCATCATATCAACTTAATCACTCGAAGACCTGTTTAATTCTGACAATCCATTAATATCTTCTCGAAATTGATAGATTCCCAGATATCCCTAGAAATCTCCGACTTAACCACTCCTGATCCTTCTTCATTTTCAGCGCCGCAGGCGAAAATTTTGTGAATTTTGGAAGGCCAGAAAGCCATATTTCTTCCTTTTTTAGCGCCGCAGGCGAAAATTTTCAGAATTTTGGAAGGTCAAGAAGAAAAATTTCTCCAATTTTGTCCTTAGATTGGGTATATTTTTTGCGTTAATTTCATCGAAAAAAACGCAAAACGCAAAACGCAAAAAAAGGCCAAAATTTAACGCAAATAACGCAAAACGCAATACGCAAAACGCAATGCGCCCACCCCTGACCGGGACATTTTCGACACTTCAACATAAAACCAGATTAGAAAGACTTGAATGTGTTATGTACGTGACTTCTATGTCTACGTATTAACAAGAATAACAGCAAGATAAGACAGTAACTAACAACTGTGCTTTATCTGCAAGACTAAATACAATAATAATGAAGGTGGCAACAGGCAAGAATGACTAAGGACAGACGGCGCCGGTCGACCCAGGTGTCGACCAAGACTGATCGCTAACGACTCCTTTTATACTAGACCCAGCACATACCTAACAGAATGGTTGACTCGATACACAACCCGACGCTTTCTTAACCTGGTTCATCCATGGCTATGTTTTTGCAAAAGCAGAATTTATAAAAATAAACGATCATAGGGTTGGATGGGTATACTGTCGGCATTAATTTCGTTGGCTTTATTTTTCCACTATCGACTTAACACGACAAACTCTAATAATCTGCAAAATAAAACCAAAGTAAATTATTTTCTTTAGGTACTACTGATGCTCGGCTTCATGCGTCCTCCGACCTACCAGACGGTGATGAAGAAGAGGTAGTTTTTTAATTTAATACAATCAAGCCATTCAACTGAGCTCTAAAAATTATTAATATTTGAAAAAACCGGGTCCGGGAAACGGGTTCTGAAAGTTGACCGGGAGGGACCCGGACGGGAAAACCGGGAATTCCCGTTCCCGGTTTCAACCCGGTTGCTCCAAAAAACCGGGAAGAGGGACCCGAAAACCGGGAAACGGGTCCCGGACCCGTTCCGATCTCTACTATAAACTCCTAATTTTGAGAAATTCCGAGAGTAGGGGTAAATGATTTGGAAGCTAGAATGAATTTCAAAATATTGCCTGAGGGTATAAGTAGGGAAGAGTGAGTACCGATATTATCGTTTATCTAACAATTTATTCAGTGTGAGTGCGAAGATGACGACGAGACAACGGTCGCAACTCCCATTTCTACACGTAGCAATGGATACCCTTCTAATAACGGAGCCCCAACTAGCACTGTACGCCCTTCAAACAACGGAGGCCCAAGCTCTGTCACAGGATCTGTTATATTGAGAGATAAATGGGGAAACGGCGCCAATTGCATTTTGGCCTTCAAAAATAATGGAAACGCTAGAGCATGTGGTGTCAAGTTCGAGCTTACTCTTGGCGATAATGTAATATTTTTAAAATGTAATACTAGACTAAGAGCCGATACTTAGGAGAACTCCGTGTAAAGTTCGAAGATGCTTGAACATTCCCATTTCGTTTCCACATATCTCACTGATTTTGCTTGAAGAAAAAAATGATTGACATGGAAAAGAAAATAATCTCTTACCATTTTATACGCATAAGGAAAACTCTGAGACTCAAAATAGGAGGGGGTGACATATCCATAAGTTTTCCAAATTGTCTAGTGCTTAGTTTCCCGCATCCTGTTTAACATAAACATAGTGAAATAGGGACACGCCCAAGTAGGCGCGCGGCCATGCAGGCGCAAAGCCATAACCAGCTGGAAAATTTCTGGACCTTCACAATTTTGGTACCATTCTCTTTAGCTCGATGAGAGGAAACGTTTAATACCAAATTTGGTAGGATTCAGAAATCTTGAAGCAAGTTATGACTTTGCGCCTACCTGGCCGCGCGCCTACTTAGGCTGTACCCCTGTAGTAATTTCACTTCTCCTTTCTTTACATTAAATATCTTAAATTCCAGCAAAGAATCCAAAGCATTTGGAACGTTGAGAAAGTCGGAGAAAATGTTTACCGAATTCCGGACTACATTCAACTTGGTCCAGGAGTCGAAAACAGAGATATAGGAGTTGTCTATAATGATGTGCCTGATCCTCTTCCAACAATCAAGGTTCTTGGACAAGAGGAGACATGCAAACAGTATTGAATAAACAATATGGAATTTACATTTATTAAAAGATATAAGTTTTATTAAAACATGTAAAATTAAAATTCTTTGGCAAATTAAAAAATAATGGCAGAATAATAAATTTGTGAAGGTATAATTTGTATACTGTAGTTATTCGAGAGTTGAAAATATGTGAAAATTAGAAGTTTTGAGGTTTTAAGTGTGTATTCTGATAAAGGATTTTTTGAGTCATACAAAGATCATTAATTTGTCTTCGTATGTCTAATTTCTCTAAGTTACATATTTTTAATCTTTCGGATATAGTGTAGTTCACCGGAGGTAAAAGTTCGGGACGAGACATATGTCATTCGATTCGTCTCTGCGAGCTGAGTCGAACGGTACCACTCCCAGTTTCAGGAAATGATTCGGGACCGAGTTATAGGTCCCGAAAAATCGAAAAACCAAAGGGCGGACCAAGCACTTTTTTGGAGTGAAAAATTCGAATATGCAAATTATACCTCATTCGAAAGAGCTCGTCGAGCTGAGCCGAATGACACCAAAATCAACGAAATCCGACTTGATTGGACCGAGATATAGACCCCTAAAAATCGAAGATCCAAAGGGGCGATTTTTGGAATAAAAATTTTTTATACAAATAATACCTCATTCGAAAGAGCTCGACGAGCTGAGTCAAATGACACCAAAATCACCGTGATTGAACAAGATTAAACAAAGTTCTGACACAAAAAACAAAAAAACATAAACCTATGGAGCTTCGGCGAGGCGCTTGTGCAAAACTCCGCGCTTCGCGCGGAGTTTTGCGGCACGCGCCTCGCGGGGAGTCTACGGGCGATGGGTCTGGGCTCGTAACATAAACCTATTCCTATCTCCCTTGCTCTGGACGTATTTGGGGCCTCCGTAGCAGCAAAAATCTCCACAGATGACATAGGTAAGGAGCTAAAATAAAGGATCATAACTTTTTCGAATCAAGTCGGATTTCGTTGATTTTGGTGTCATTCGACTCAGCTCGACGAGCTCTTTCGAATGAGGTATAATTTGCATATTCGAATTTTTCACTCCAAAAAAGTGCTTGGTCCCCCCTTTGGTTTTTCGATTTTTCGGGACCTATAACTCGGTCCCGAATCATTTCCTGAAACTGGGAGTGGTAACGTTCGACTCAGCTCGCCGAGACGAATCGAATGACATATGTCTCGTCCCGAACTTTTACCTCCGGTGAACTACACTACAGCCAATCTTTCTTCATATTTTATTTTAATAAATCCAGATTTTTTAAATGCGATTTTTGTAAAGTATTTTTGAATTTTTTCAAACCTTTCGCAATTTGCTTTTTTCATAGGACTCCATACCTCGCTTGCATATTCTAGTTGGGGTCGAATATATGTTTTGTAGATATTAATGTATTGTTCCAGTTTTCTAGTTCTTATAACTTTAAAAAGTCTATATATACTTAAGTAAGCTCTTTTGATAATTATATTAATATGATCGGAGAATGAGAGTTTGGAATCTATTAAGATACCCAAATCTCTAACTGTTTGCAGTTTAGGAATTATTATTTACTAAAAATTAACCAAAAATAATAAATTTTAATTTATTGAATTTAAATAAGCAATATGTATAGATGAAAAAACACATTGGGAAAATTATTTTACATTTCATAATAAAAATATAAAGTGCATGTCTCAATTAAAGGAAAGTGCATTGCCAAAGGTTTAAAAAAACTTTTAAGGATTAAACCAGGGATTTTAACTTCTTCAAATTAATTTCTTTCTAACAAACGTCCTCATCTCCATCCTCAGGACTATCGTTCAGATAATTAAGATAATCCTCCTCATCTGAATCTGACTGATTTTTGGAATTAATTATAGTAGTTGGCTCTTCCATTCAGTTTGATTTTGCTTCTCCACATAAGTTTCTGTTTCTTCGGCTCCCGGACAATTCGTCAGTGGAAAATGCGTCAGTGGACAATCGGTCAGTATTGATATAAAGTGATTAAAAGTGATGATATAAAGTAAAAATTCACTGATATCCCTCCAAATTGGCTGATATCCATATTAATCTAACCAAATAACTTAATATCTCTGTTAATCCTCCCAAACCCGAGATATCGGCCTTAATCACGGCAAATCCCTCTATATCTTTTTTAACCCCCAAAATCCCTTTTTAAATACTCCTAATTTGTTTATATCCCATCTTTAGTTTTTTATATCATTTTTTATCTCTTTACGCATAACTTTTAATCACTTTATATCAATACTGACTGATTGTCCACTGACGCATTGTCCGGACACGTTCTCTTCCTCCTCTTGATTAAAAAGAT